ATTAATTCCAACAATCTCCTCTKATCAACCATTGTTGCAAAATAAGTCAAAGAAATGAAAAAGCAAATGTGTTATTATTTTGAAGTGTGATGAAAAGTGTGTGCAAGCTGTTAGTTAGTAGTATGAACATACCCCTTATCAGGCATGTCATCTTCCTGGTCTGAATAATCCATTTCATCTGGAGTTTGATCAATAACTTTTCTCTTTTTTGACTTTTTTGATTGATCATCACAAGCTAATAGTGAAATGATAAAATAGAATAATTACTAAAATTTATATTTAAGGGGATTCTTAGACCAACTACTGACATTCCTGGAAACAAAAGATAAAATGGTGTATTCATCTCAATCAAATATCAAGATTCAAGTGGTATTCCTGGGTTATTTTAGGATTTTTTTCAAGAAGTTTTCTTTTTTTTAGCAAGTGACCATGAAAACGAGTTTCAGAAATTTTCAAATGTTTAAGCTTAAAAAGAGACACAAAACCTGGTTCAAAAAAGTTTAAGCTTAATAATCTCTCATGCCCATAACAATTTTTAGGGAAATTGTACAGAACACCTTGGTCAAAATCATTGGGAAAAAAATTACTTGTTAATGGAAATAAGAAAAAAGCACACAAATGACAGTTAGGTTAAAAAGCGAGAAAAAAGCGAACAAATAAGTTTATATTTTTGCTAACCTTTGCTAGTAGTTTGTTGYTCAGCTAGAAGGTCATTTTCTTCGTTGTCAAAGTCAGCAAATTCTTGCACTAAACTACYTCCAGTGCTGCTAGAGACTTTATTGATCTTCTTTGGTCGGGATGGCATATTTGCTTTCAATTCGGTAGGGTTAACTTAACTGCTGTTAAATAGACCRAAAAAACTGTTTTAAGATAGCTTAAAATGATTTCAACAAACCCTTAGTTGCGGCCGAAATCAGTTTTAAAGTTAACTTAGCTAAAGTTAAACTCCAGATTTTTGCAAATAATAAGCTTTCCTACTTAAATTGGACTGTTTATACATTCAAAAGTATTATTTTTCTTGTTTAAAGACTATAAAAATAGAAAGTAAGCAAGAAAAGTAAGCGAAATATACTTAAGTCTTAACTTAAGCTTCGATGTTTGTAGCTGATGTCTGCTCATGAGATGTAAACACTTGCTCTAAAATGTCATATCTTTTGAAAGAACTTACCTTTTTGTAAAGTCAAATACTTTCTCTTGTTAAACCAAGATAATTTRTTATGAGATTCACAAAAAAATCTTCACAAAACCAACAAATTGACAATAAGAAAGAGCGAGGTAAATTTTCATCTATAAAAGATACTATCGTTTTTTTCCCGCGTAAACATGACGAACGCCAGCGCTGATACTTTCCCGCCATTGCACAAAAACACAGGTAGCCCAAAATATTCAATGTAGCAAATAGATGCACTGTCTGTAGAAGTGGAACAATTGGGTTTTTGAAGCTCGGAAAAGGGCTTTATTGATTTAATTAGTTGATGAAACTAAGGAAWATGATAATTCAGTGATTAAGTGAGAGATCATAAGTCTGAATTTTTAGCTCGTGGAGCTAGAAGATAAAAAAGTTGCAGTTATAGGATGGGAGTTTTACACGTCTGATTTTCAACGAATTCCTAAAAAGGGCAAACATACAGGATTTTTTTTTCGGGTTTACATTTTTGGTTTTGATATGATTTTTTTTCACAGATTTTTTCAAGTTTTTGATTATTTTTAAATAAAATAACAGTAACCTTGAATGGTTTCCTGACATCTGACCAGTCCATTAAATCATCTAGAGCTGATCATCTATCAACTAGAGTCGGGGGGTTGGGAGGGGGGGTATGTGTCGCAGGATAGGGTCGCAGGATAGGGTCCCTTTTTCGGAGCTCCAAATCTTGGATAGGGTAACATATTTTGCCCATTTGTCTGGGTTATAGGGTAGTTGTTTTTTGTCTAGGATAGGGTATAGTCTCATTGTCTGGGGTAGGGTGGAGTTTTGCCTGTGTGATCGTACCTGCTAGGGCACGCTTTAAGCGCTAAAATAATAAATATYGTACCTTTGTACCTTTAGTCTGTGGTAGGGTATGTAAAATCAAAAAAWTGGTCTGGGATRGGGTAAGGGTTTTGAGTAAGGGCGCTAAAACTTAAAATATGACCTAAAAGATCGAGATCCTTGTTTAAAGATTAAWATAATAGAAAAAGAAACATGAAGGTAAACGGAAAATAAGCTTAGATGTCGTTTACAACTGAATGGTTAAGACTTGCTCTACCAAAAAATGTGYTTTCCTTTGAAAGAACTTACCTTTTTGTAAAGTCAATTACTTTCTCTTGTTRCACCAAGATAAATGTTATGAGCTTCACAAAATATTTTCACGCAAAAAACAATAAATTGATAATAAGAAAGAGCGAGGGAAATTTTCAACTTTGCATACAGAAATACTATCGTTTTTCTCGCGTAAACATGACGAACGCGCGCGATGATACTTTCCCGATATTACACAAAAACACAGTTAGCTTAAAATTTTCAATGGAGCAAATAGAAAAAAACAACAGCAGCAACAACAAAGGGGTAGGATGAAAATAAATAGCTGTCACTTGTAGTATATAAGAGCTTTACAAGTCAGATTTGCAAAGAATTCCTATCTAAACCTACAGGATGAGTTTTTATTTTTTTATTTTTTCCATTTTTTCAGTAGTTTTACATATTTGGTTTTGATATGATGTTTTCAGCCATGTTTAAGTTTTGGATTTTTTGAGTAAAATAACAGTGCGCTTTCCATTTGTCAGAACTGGCTGGCCAGACCCAGAGAAAATGTCATTATATATCATTCCCATTTAGTTAGGAAATTCAAGTTTTCAAATTCTATCCATTATTCTACAGAAATCCTCGAAATAACTGAAAAATTTTAACAAAAAGCATTATACACCTCTAAATAGAGTGGACTGGCCGTCCAGTTCTGTTTAAATGGAAAGCACCCCTACAGAAATTTCAAAAAGACAATATTACGACGCAGACTTTAGATCTAAGAAACTCCTAACAAAGAAACAAATTGCTAAAGTAATTAATTAATCCCAAAAGAACTCTTTGTTTAAATGATTAAAAAGAAAGTCAAATACAGCTTTTCAAAAATCAAATATTGTGCAAAACCTTCAAAACTATAACTGACATAAAAAATAAACTAAAAAAAGGAAATAACTTTTGTATGACATCTGTCAGGGATAGAAGTTTATTGCTTGTACATGTAATTACTGAACGCGCAGTTAACTACATATCAATATCATGACATTTCAAAATATTGTTCACCTAAAATGTGTTTCATGTTATGGTAAGGTGTAAAAACACAGAAATTAACAGAGAGCTCTCTTGTCATGAGCATGAGATTGTATCGAAAGCTGTAAATACGTGAAAAAAGGTTAGTGCATTGATTTGGACCAACCCCACGCCCTTTATTAATTAATGCTTTTTTGACAGCAGTGGCGCCCACTCTAAGCTAAGCAACATTACTTATTTGAAAAACCAATCAAGGCGATCTGAAATATGAAAAATTGCATTGAGTTTATTAACTAAAAAAAGACACTCTAAGTTTAGTTATGTATAGTTTACGACAAGGACGCGAATGTTGTAAAAGCTAAAAGACTTATAAAATCCCAACACAAATTAACATGAATTACAGTGAGATAAATGACAGCAAAAATAGGAAAAAATGCCCGTATAAATGGTCAGCAAGTTTTCCTCGACTGTTTCTTGACAATGTTTCTTTGCTAGTCTAACGAATAACAAGTTTTACTTGACAAGGAAAAATTACCAGTGTGAATAGTCCATAATTTTTCATTGCCACATTTTCCTTGTTGTCCATTTAGTCCATTTACACGAGCAAATTTCGTCCTTGACAATTTTTCCTTGTCAAGGAAAAGCGAACATGTTGGTTTTTCCTTGACAAGGAATAATTGCCCATTTTAATTACCCCATTTACACGAGCAATTTTTCCTTGTCAAGGAAAACTTGTCAAGGAAAAATTGCTCGTTATAATAACTTATAAAAAAAGAAAGCTTGTGCGATCGCTGGAAGATTCATATAGTAATATGAACTCATTCACAGATGCAAAAAGCGTCAATATGTTATAGAAAAGGGATATAAATTTCGGGCAGAAAAAGCTTCAAACCCGCAATCCTCATCTTAAAAATCGTCTATATCTTACAATTTTTCATACAGCTTGTTTTTTAATATATCATATATTTAAACAACAATTACTAAAAACTCATCGCGGAGACAGCTATTATATGAGGTGCGCGTAAAATAAGGTACTTTGTTTACATCCAAAATATATTATGACAACGGCCATTTCTTTCACAGAAAACCTTGCAAATTCGGCGCTTGATATCTCTTAAAAGATTTAACCAATTGCCTTCAAATTTTTTAGGAATTGCTAACAGGTATGAGCTCTTTTTATTTATGGGCTTGATTTTCTTGTGACTTGAAATTCGGTTTTTGATTTTTCAGCAAATTACCTAAAACGTGTATNGAAACTGGATTCAGAAAAGAAATTTTTATCCACAACATCAAGTCCTTAGAGATTTTTTTTTATAATTTAGCTGTAGCCAAAGAATCCTTCTCTGAATTGGTACATTGACTCATGATAAATTCTGCGAATTCAACGTTTTCTTTGATTATACAATGTTTATTTTATCATTATTCAAACTGTATTTTTACATCCATGTCATTACTCTCCTTTGCCTGATTATAGTTTTGCAAAGCAGCCGAAAGTGTGCTTATTTGAAATAGCCTCCRTAAGCAGACGTTCTTAGCGGTTCGATTCTCTACGAAAATGTGGAACCCTCGAGTGTAAAATGTTGAGGTGAATTTTGAGTGAATCCCGGCAAATCTTTKKCAACAGCTAGTATCTGCCTGGTCTGTAAACCACTTTCAAGAAATCTTTATCGTTCTGTTTATCCGAATTCTAGTAATGTCTGTATGATACAAGAACTGTAGACCTCAATCTCGTACCCAGAGCCGCCGCTGACCAAGAGGAACGGCGGCTCTGGGTACGAGATTGTGTAGACCTTTTCTTGTTATGATTAATTTGGAAAACAATAACGACAATTGAACAGCTCAATGAAAGGTGTCATATTATATCGAGTACATCGGTATTTGGCCGCAAACGAGCACTCACCACCCACCCCCACCCCCGTCAAATAATTAATCAACTGAAGAATGATTATGCAAACCCTGTATCATTTGATTAATTCCTGAGCTGAGCTCTGATTGGCTCGCTGCTCCCTAAGGATTTTGGTGTGACGTCATATAGAACTTCGCCGAATAGACTACCCCGATTAGATATTAGATATTTATAAGTGTCTTCATAGTACGATGGTCTAAGAGGGTAGCTAAAGGTATGCTCTAGTGGGCGGCTACCCCCTCACTCCCTKDCMTTTTGGTTAAGACTAAGTTTTATGTTCACTCGGGATAGCGTGGAAGAGCCGAAATCTCTAACCGTAACGTAAGCCGATTCGCCGCCTCAGCTTCATAGAATGTCTCGGGGGAATCGTCCCATCTTTTTAGTTTTTCATTATTTTTTATGTATGTCGGGGGGGTGACTCCCTCTCCTAAAGTGAAAGTTCTGAGTTCGAGTCCTGCTGCTGGAATTTCTATTTTTTGCTTGTTTTTTGTTTATTTATTTTTTCGTTTTTTGTTTCTTGTTTTCGTCTATTTTTTTCTTTTTCTTTTCTTCATTTTCTTCGCTGTTTTACTATGTTTGTTTTTCTAAATATTTTCTTTTTTCATTTTAAATATATCAAGGACCCATAAGGCTTTTCGTCGCAAAGCGGCTCGTAAACAATAATAAAACAAATATGTGAGAAGAAAAACTGAACATGACTAGACACAACTAAATTTCAGTTAAAAAGAGAGAAATAATATAACAATAATAAAAAAACAGAACCATTCGTGGAACACACCGTGTCCCAGTTACGTCAAGTGCTTATTAGAATTTTGAAGTGGAATATATTTTTACCAGCGCCACATGAAAAAATATCGGCGATGATTTCCCGTAGCCTCTGATATGTATAAATTATTTCATATTTGAAATTTGAAATTTGTGGCAAACAACAGTGTCAAAACGATCATAATTTCTACATATTGCTGTATTGCAAAAATGTATGGAAATAACAACATAAAACTGTCCATTGGATCACTTTGGACTTCCCGTACGAACGTAATACGTAACCAGTAAAGCAAATGAAGCTAAAGAAAAACGC